TTTCAAAATAGTTCTGCTTCTAGTTTTTAAGTTGTATTATTTATGTATAAAAATGAAGTTGTAAAAAGCCAGTTTAAAAATCACCAAAAAAGTTTCACATATATTTAAATTTTTCTTGCATGACATGCAAAGAAATATGAATTTTTCTACACAGATTATAGAGCATGGAAGAAAAGACTATATTATGATCTTTTTTATTCTTTTATATAATGTATATTTTTATTTTAGGTAAGTCCTACGGCTTGATTATCACCATAAAATTTCTGACTGGTTTAAATGTCGTCTTCTTTTTGTTTCTCATCATAGGCGTTAAAATCTCGCAACCTTTTTCCATATAAATTCGCGCAACCTCTCACACCAGAGAAAGTTTTGGTCAGCTGACTTTCTCATTATTAGAAATCGTAATAGTTCAGTAATATACATAATACATACAAATAATGCATATTCATAGTACATTTATGTAATAAACAGTTATTATATTCATAAAATTAACACATATTCATGCATATTACATGACTATTATTCCTTAAATAGAAGAAACTATACGGTATAATAAGATTCTTTATACTATAGATATTATAAATAATATCATATTAATTTATATATTGATTGCAGTTATATAATACTCGGGTTATAAGATATATGTTAGTCAAACAGAAAATATAAATGAAACCTTAGAATGATTTTTTTTCTCACGAAACCTCGAACAATTCTCATGAATGCAGTCGGCAGAAGATGCTTTACTTCTGAAGATATTGCAAATATATAAATCATAAATGCATCTTAATTCATTAATTGTTCGTCATGTCACCTTTTATTCTGTGCAGTTAAATAAAATTTAAAAAAATATCATCAGTCGGGATCAAGCATTGATCTCTATCTTTACGTTTACATTAACTTTATTCCTCTCCTGTATCCCTACATGGTTAATTTAATTAAGGGATCTAAGTACCCACATTTGATATCGTGATCACACAAAAGTTTCGACCTAAGATTTTCTAAAACAATAAAACATTTGGAAAACATTTTTTCACGAAACCTCGAGTTGAATTCTTGATGGATGCTGTCTGCCAGAAAATTTTTAACATTGAAATATCATTTCAGCCTCTGTAATTACATTATTGAAGTGTATAGAGAATATCCCCCCCCCGCCCCTCCGGTATGCCATAAAGGTATGAGAGCGTGAAATTGTATACTATATGACCTGCTAATTCGGTTTGATATGGACACTATCTCTTCTCTTGAATGTTTATGTATTACACTTGACTCGCGTATTAAATGAAATCTGTATATAATTATTATTAAACTTTCTCTAGATCAAAAGCATACAATACGTAAGAAGTGTATCCCATAAAACTGTGGAATAGGAATTGACGGTTGTTTGACTCAAGTTATGATTTTAAATAATCTGTGCAGTGTACACAGACCCCTTTAAATTTCAAAGTTGATGTTCAAGGTGCTTGTAAAAATATTTTGTTAAAATACATCGACAATTATTTCATTGTCGTCTTCCTATTCCACAGTTTTATTAGTCCCACAATGTTTTATAAAGCTTATTGTAATCTAAAAAATTAAATGTCTGATGTTTTTGTTTTGTTTGATGTTCCAAGATAATGAGGTGTAAACAGCTGAAGAAGAGTGGAGACAAACATTACAATTATAGTGTAAGCTCTAGACACTGCAGAACAATAGAAACCTTGGGGTTTTATAATCTTACCCCCCCCCCTTTCTCTCCCTCCCCCCGGGGAGGATAATCATTTTTAAAGATCGATAAAGTTTTCTCTCCTCTTTTTATGATACTTTTCACCAATAAATACATTTTTTTCTCTTAAACCCATTTTTCTTCCCAATTTTCTCCAATTTGATACTGCAAAAGGTTCTAATACTTCCGTGCACCTTTTAACTTATTAAGGATGTGTTAATATGTGATGTCCGACGTAATGACAAGAATCTTAGTCCATTGAATTTGATCCTTACGCTAGCAGTTTCATTTTTGTAAATTGTCACGCTTTACATTATTCGCGGAAAGTCTTTACGAATCATAAGCCCACATTAAACTTGAGAATTAGTAACGTCAGTTCGAGAGTTTCCTTGTGGTAGTAGGACATTCCTATAAGTCTGATTTGATTTGATATAGAAAAAGGAAATGTTGATGGTATAGTCAAACCTAAAACTATTGAAATATCTATGTTTTTTACTTCAAATTATAAAGAAAACACTTATCTTGGAAGACACAGAATACTCGGGGGCTCGCTTCCCCTAGCTCCTCCGGCCTTTTGGAAAAGTGGTTGTTGCGGCCTTTTGGAAAAGTGGTTGTTGCTTCACTTGGTTGGTTTAAGGGGCACACAATTAACATAAGCCCCCCCCCTCAAACACATTGTTACGGCCCTGCCCACCCCCTTTCCTTCTTTGTTCTCTTATTTAATCCTGTTATCGAGGGGTATGGGAAAAAGGATTACTGGTTGGTGTGCTCTACTAGAAAATGGTGATGACCCAGTTTCTGCAGCTTTGTTTTAACATTCTTTTTTATCATTTATCAGCTGGGTCGCTTTTTGTCTGGTTAAAGTAAACACAAAATTGCAGGCGCTTTCCACCGCTATTAGCGATTTTTTTATCACTTAGCTTTCTAAGAAAAAGACCAAAAATCTCTTTTCGTTTTTTTTTAATTTGAATTTTTTTAAAAAATATATTAGAAGGATGAAACTTTTTCCAACATAAAAAAAAAATTTGAATGACATGATTATAATTTATTGATGAAGGTATACGTAAAATGGAGGCATAGGTAAAATGATGTTAGGTACTTCCCAAAGGATTTTTCTCAAGTGACAACTTCCCAAGTCTGTCCTTGCCGCAGCGGTCGGCCCCCGGCCTTTTCTAGCCGCGGCGCTCGGCCCCCTAACCCATCCTAGCCGCAGCGCTTTGCCCCCACATTGCAGCCTACGGCGCCTCAGAGGGCCAACCTAACCTTTGGGAAGTTGCCTCTTGGGAAATTGTCACTTGGGAAGTCGCCCTTGGGAAAGTACTTAACACCATGTAAAATACCGTCAACAGTCCCTTTAATTTCTGAGTTTATATATTGAATCCAATAGTAAATGTAAGTGATATATCATAGAACTAATAGAACTATTGGCGAGCTATCAGCATTCCAGAACCATCTATATCTTGGATTCATTATTTATTCTTCAAATCCACCATTAACTTGAGAATGGTTAATAATCGAGAAAACAAGGAAAATGATTTCAACATTTCAGGAATTCAACAGTTATTAGAAAAAGCTCAGATGTATCAGATTTTGGGGGTATACCTTCGGGCTGTTTTTTTATTTTAATTACTCATGGTTTTGGTAAATAAGTATAGTTGGTTTTATGCTACTTTAAGAAGTTCTTGTCCTTTCTTTGCTCTTCCCTTTTTTCACAGGTTTCCAAGTCCTAAAAAAAGAGGTTTCCAGGACCTCTCCGTTTCCCAGAAAAAAAATTCCTAGGGTGTCTCCGTCCTTGAAAAATATCAGGTTTCGCGGGTTTCTCCGTCCTTGTAAAATATTAAGTTTGGATCTTGGATTTTCTTCATCCTGATTCTGTCTGAATGAACTATTTCCTTATCTGAGATGAATCAATGTCAACATGTCTCTCCTTGCCACATATTTCTCCTGGAGATTCTACAGATATCTCTATATAGTGAGAGAAATAGAATCCACCATCCCCCTCCCCCAGCTTCCAAAGACCCCCCCATTCTCCTCTTTATGTTCTATTGTACAATATATTGCAAAGGGTAATGTATATTTTCTCGTAAAAAAAATGTTTTCCCCTCCCTTTTGGAAAATCATCTTTTCCCCGGAATTTTTTAGGGTTTTATTTGCTAAATTTAGGAAAATAAATAACTATTCGTGTTAAAAGTATAAGATTAGGTAGAAAACTTGCCAAGTGCACTAAAAATCCTTCACCCCCTTGCGCTGGGGGGGGGGGGTAAGTATAAATAACATTAAAGCACAAATAAACCGTATATTGTTAAACTAAATGATTATGAATAGAAATGACGACTATCCTGAGATAAAGGTATCCAAGTTTCCATTAATATCTGCTCTCCTATATATTGTTAAACTAGAAGAATTAAACCTATATCCTGAGATAAAGATATCCAAGTTTCCATTAATATCTTCTCTCTTATATATTGTTAAACTAAATAAATAAAACCTATACCTGAGATAATGATATCTAAGTTTCCATTAACGTCTGAGAGGATTTATATTTGACTGAAAATCTGTATAAATGGAGAAAGTCTCAGACGTTTTTTTAAAAAATAATCATGAAATTTCGCTAACGTTTTAGAACAAAATTTCGTTCTTTTTACCAATTGCCGTGATTTTTAAAACATTTATACGTCTGAACACTAAAGCATTTTAAAATATCCTGCTTTCAAAATGTAAAAAAATGTAATTTTTTTAATCACCATACACCGGGGGGGTTCTAGGAGTTGCAAAATGATGAGTAATTTTTCCCAATCCAGTGGAGAGCAGATTAAGAAACCTGTAGCTTTGCAGTTTAGGTAAGATTTAAAATATTTTTATGTTTAAATTTCTCAGAAAAGTTTACTAACAACTCTGAAAAATAAGATTTAGAAGGTGGGAGGAGGTGGGAGAGGGGAGGAGGATCATAATTTGCGCTAAACGGGGGTCTAGCTACATAGGCTTGAAGTTGGTATGCATGATTTGCTATCTTTAGTTGTCATGCATTGACTTTACATTCGTCAACTGAACTGCACCTTGAAAATTTGTTTAGAAAATTATTATCATCCACGTACCTGCCACCTTCCCTTTAATCAAATCTTGAATCTGACAATAGTTCTTGTATTAGTTATATTATCCTATTACTGTGAGTAAACTGAGAGGATTAACTGCTCTCAATAATGCTTTATTTTTAGATTAATTCTCCCTACATCGTAGTTTTATTATTTATTTATTTTCTAGTTTCTATTTAGATGTATCTATCATAAAAACTTTTATTTTTTAAATTTAGAAAATTGTCCAAGTTTTACAGAATCATTAAAAGTTATACACAAATGTCTAAAGAAAAAGTTTACTCTTTTAACCGTTTGGAACTTTTTCAACTGTGACTATTTTATATTTGATCAGCAGAATTATTATTATAAGAATATCAAAGGGCTCTGTTTAAAGAAAAAACAATTTGAAAACTTGAGTAGAGCAGTTTCTTATGATATAAAACATCTTAAAGCGACAAATTTTTTTATTGAGAAGCTATTTATCGTGTTATTAAGATAAATAGATTCCTACTGATCATTCCTGATTTATCCTTCGATCCATCTGTTACTATCTGTGACCTTCTTCTGCTCTGCATCTTGAAAATATTCCGCTGTCTCATATTGTTTGTTCACTGTCCAGCATCTGTGTGTTTTATATGTGCAGGAGCGTATCTTACTTTGACTTCTGGGGTAACTGTCATCGTGTTTTGAAACCTAGAAACACACAAACTTTAGGAGTACCTGGAGTTTAATGAAACAAAATACTGTTTAGAACTTTATTAATACTCCTCATTGAATAAAGTGGGTGTCTTAAAACTTTTCAGGGTGTCTTGCACCTTTTCAGAGTGATTTTAACCTACCCAGGATGTCTTGAACCTACCCAGGGTGTCTTGAACCTACCCAGGGTGTCTTGAACCTACCCAGGGTGTCTTGAACCTACCCAGGGTGCCTTGAACCTACTCAGGGTGTGATGAATGTACCGTGGAAGTGTTAATGTTTAATTGGATAAGGTTTGATGCTCCAGCTCCTTCAGCTGCTGCTTAATCGGCATTTTTTGTATTCGTCATTATAACCCGGATATAGATAAACAAAACCAGGTCTAACTAGATCTTCGCTTGTTTTTCTTCTGCATTTAACTTCCCTTTTCACTTTTCTTATGTAAAACCATCCTAATCATTTTATTAAAATTTTCAGCATTTTTTAAAAGATTTTTTTTTCAATGAAAAAGACGCAATTATTTTTATTTCTTATTATTCATTACTCTGGCCACACGTCTTCTAGCTTCTTTCTATTTTATAAGATCTGCTTTGTAGTTCTATTTTCTATGTTCTTTAGCTCTATCTTGCATTTGTAAATATCATTTTTTGACGTAATAATTTTTGTTTCAAATTCTAGATCTGTCAAGGTATTGCATGTTATCTCACAAAGATTCTACATAAGCAATCAATTTTGTAAGAGACTCAATTTTGCTGAATTTAAAATCTAAATCATCAAATTCATTGAAGCGATAAAGCCAGCGGGGAAAACGGAATTTTGAATAATATAAAATATATTTATTTAGTAAAATATACAGATTTTAACAAAGTTTTATCTATTTTTATGTTTTATTTTGATTTGAAGTATTTAGTTCGAGTTTAGGAAACTAGTTTTGATTAAACAACTTTTAGATTAAATTCCACTTTTTAGCAGACCTCCCTCCAGGGTTCTTCAGGGCAGGGGCTTATTCAGGATTTTATGTTAAGGGGTGTCAAAAATTCTGCCCCCCCCCCCGTGCAAAATTGTTTAAACATGTATTAATGAAGTGGAAGCACGACTTTTTATGAATGCAAAATTAGATTTTTAGGCAGCCCTCCACCCCCCTAGTTTCTTTAGGAGACTTCGCCCTGACTTCAAGGGTTAATAAGAATTTTCTAAGATTAAGGAAGTATACACTGTATAGGTCTAACCTTTAGAACACAAACAACACTAACAATAAAGTTTGTTTCGTGAACTTAACATTTCACGCTGCAAACAACATTATTAAATAGAAATATTAAATTTAGGATATTTAACAAATATACAGAATAACGGGATAAAAAGATAAACGCGGACATGTTATTGTTTTTAAATAAACTGACTTCGTGACAGCGGTTGAATAATGAGTCTTCCACCCGCAGTTTAGGGGGGGGGGGGGGNGGGGGGGGGATTATAAGAATAGAAATATGTTTTCACTACATCTATGCTAAAGTCGTGAACGAGTGTTAAATTGGTTAAATCTTAATACCGCGGAAATATCCACGATCTCAGGCCTAACCTAGGATGCAAGCAAGGCAGAAGGAAGGAGAATTTACGCTTTTATTATAAATTATCTACTTTAAAGGGACTGGAAGCGTAATTACAAATGATCCTCCATGAACTGTCAGATTTACATTGAACCCTTAAAAGCTTTGTCTGATCAAATATGAATTAGATATCCATGTATTTGTTTTTTAAGACTGTTAATTATAGAATAGAGGAAGGGAGGGAGTTCACTCTCAACCCCACTTTTCAAAATGTATCATTTTACAATCGAATAATCGGCTTGTCGGGGTCAATTTCAAAATTTCTAAAAACCTTTTTTTTCATATGAAGTCTCGTGGCTTGCATAAATACGGTATAACCAAACAAACTGTGATTGGAATGTCGTCTTTTCAAATTGTCGACAAAGACCAATGTCAGAAATCATATAATGCTATATTTCATAATGGAAGCAATATTAATATTATGAGAATACCGCTCACATAGATCCAGACTGCTATTTGAGTTTCACAAACTCTATTGTACTCTTTCGTAGACCTAAAACCATAAAGCACTTTTTTCTATGTTTACCTTTAAAGTTATTGGCAAAATTTTGATAGATTTTGCGAGCTTGCAACCTTAGGATCACTGTGCGCTGAAACCTAAAGTTAAATGTGTTTAAATTTTCGTTCTTCATAACTTCTGTTTAAACATATCCTTGGTTGTTATGAAGAAATCCTTTCCAAAACATTGGTTTTCTATTAGGTGGAGTCCAACCACAAAATTGCCTTGACTTTTTGATAAAAGTTTATTCAGTGTGAAATCGAAATTTCTCAAAACCCCTACTACACATCTCCTTCGATGCTATGGACCGAATTTAATAAAGGTCGCTGAACAAACTACCGCCGGTTCAAATCCTGAGTCACAGATTCTTGAGTATTTGAACCGGCGTTGGGTAGTTCAGCTATCTCTTAAATTCATTAATTTCAGCTCTAGAAGTTATAGGTTATAACTTAAACCCCCAATTTCGGGAGTTTAAAACATTTTTCAAACAATTCTAAAAGCGTACCTGTAACAAACGAATATAAGATAAGAAAATTTTATAATTTTTAAGACCCCTGTTTCAACCCTTATCCTTGGGTTGCATAAACCAGAGAAATAAATCTTATTATTTCCGTTAGATCTGTTCTTGCTTCCAACCAACCTGATTTATAATGGATATTGTACCGAACAATGTATCAATTAAACTTTCCAAATGCAAAGTATTTCTTCGTAAATCTTTTCTAGTTACAACCTTGTTGTATTAATAATACATCTACTATTTTCTTCACACATAGACATGTCTCTAGAATAGGCGAACAATCCCTTTAAAATCTTGATTCTTTATTTTGGTTTTCTGGGGTTTTTGTTATGTAAGAAGCTCGTTTCAGGTAGAACTAGATTTTTATCTTAATTATAATTATTTCATTCATATTAACAGGTTTCCTGAAATCCTGTCTTATGTCTGAAACAAGCATTATTAATTGTTGCTTTTAAACCCTTTTCTGATTCTTGATTTTTTAGGTTTTCCCAAGGTAGTTATTCAAGGAAAGTTTTTTCAGAGGTGTACGCATATTTTGTACTGCAGTGTACTGTCTTTGGGCGGAAAAGTAAACACAAGACGGATGTCGAAGCCTGACATGGAATCCATTTTCACAAAAATAATCTATGAAATATTCTGATCTAAGGAAACTATTATGTGAATTTTCAAATTTATCAAATAAAATGTTTTCATCCTCCTCGGATACTAGACGAACACTGATGCATTTATTCTTGTTTACAAAGTCCGCCCAGAGAGAACAGGTTTCAAAATGTACTCAGAGTATACGCGACCGCAATCAATTTTCCTCCTTTTATTAGTACCTTTGGTTTTCCTGATTTTCTGTATTTTTATTCTTTACATTTATCTGTTAAGAAACAGAGATGTCTTATTTCCTAGATTTTCCTGGTTCCGTTCATTATTAATCCCCAGTTTCTCTTTCTATTAACAAATATATTTCTTGATTTCCGGGTCTTATTCTTAATTTTCCGTAATGAATTGAACACTCGCCACACTCTAGTACTCTAATCCTCATATCTTTGCAACCTGATTGTGTTTGTCTTTGATATTATAAATTTTGATTTGTTGATCAAACCGATCTAGAGTTAAACCCCCTCTTTGCTCCGGGTTGTAACCTAGGTAGGAGAATCCAGGTTCTAGGTGACTCTGGGTCGTATTCAACCCTGACCCCGTGGTTTGATGGTTGCCCTCATTACAACATTTATTTTATGTGCGTGGAATCAATCATTTCTCTTCTTGCTTTGATTATAGCCCCTAACTACAAGAACTACAAGAACTACAAGAACTACAAGAACTACAAGAACTACAAGAACTACAAGAACTACAAGAACTACAAGAACTACAACTACAACAACTACAACAACTACAACAACTACAACAACTACAACAACTACAACAACTACAACAACTACAACAACTACAACAACTACAACAGCTACAACAACTGCAACAACTACAACAACTACAACAACAACTATAACAACTATAACAACTGCAACAACTGCAACATGCAAGAAATGAAAAAAAAAACCATTTTATTCTGGATCGAACAAAAATAACCTTAACTTTATTTTTGCTCTAATTTTCGTGGATGATCGAAACAAATACATCACTAAGATTATACATTTCAATTAATTTTTTTTTGTTTTAACATTTTCTAACATCGAACAAAGATTTGATAATATTTATTATTTTTATTATTAATTATATTAATATTCTTTAGGTAAGTTTTTTCTTACTGTTTGATGTTGGCTTATGAGAAAACTGGTTATAAAAAGATATTTAATTCAGTACTTAATGGTTTAGTACAAGATAGATCAAAATATTAAAATATTAGTAATGTTAGTTAATATAATAAACTTACCGCAAACTTAATCTCCCCGTCCCATTTTAATTTCCCTCGTCCCTCATAAAGTTTTAAAAAATGTAGTTTCTACCAAAACTAAAAGAGATAATATGTTTACGCGGATTTTCTCAAATTTGGTTCGTGATTTCTGAAAATGATTAATCCTGAACCTGGGGAAGATCTGTACACTGCACGACCTCATCTAAGAAAGATATTTTTCTATTTACTTTTCTATCTTAACTTTCATTCTGGTTCTAACCTATAATCATCATTTTAACCTCAAATCCTTATTTCAAGATTTCAATCATAGTCGGATATTTTAATTTAAATCATATTTTTAACCCTAGATATAGATTTTAATCCTAGATTTTAATTCTAATCCGGGATTTACTTTCCCATCCTAGATTCTAATCCGTAATTTAAATTCAAATCCTAGATTTTAATTCTAACCCTAGATTTTAATTCTAATCCTAGAATTTATTTAAAATCCTAGATTTCAATTCTAATCCTTAGCTACCATTGTAAGCGAAGCCCCTTTTTTAAATTGAATGTAAAATTACAGGAACAGACCCTTAAAAACTAAAGACAAATGTGTAGAACCCACTCTGTGATTTAAACAAAAGAATAACTCTGAACCCTGAAGTAATCTATGCACAACTGTATCTAAACTTGAATCTAGGTTTATATGCAGATATCTAAGATACAACCCGTATAATCTTTAATATTGGCACTACTGCTTAATGTAAACCTTGCTATTATACAATATTCTCTTCTATAAATATTACACGAAGAGTTATTTCAAGAGTAACACCACCCCTCCCCCTCACCACCAGATAAATAAGATTTTTTTTCAAAATCTACAATATCTCAAAATTTTTAAAGCCAAAAGAAATTTATTTCTGAGTGATCCTAAAGTCTTTCACGCAAAAACGATGAGATTTTTTTCAATTATTTCTACAAAACTAAAGTTAAAAAACACGTGCATAAAGTTATGAAATATGCATATTTAAGGCTACAAAATAGTATAAGTAAGTCAGTGCGGGTAAAATCAAAAGTCAAGGCGCTATGGCACTTTAAAATCCACCCAGTAATAAAATTGTTAACGTTTTTTTCATACCTGTCCGAGTCTATGTGAGGGTGCTACTTGCTAGACAAAATATCTTCAGTTTTTGTACCCAGCATCAGACAGTGGATTTATTTTGGTCCGAAAATCAAGCCCCATTTCAAAGTTTGCCTAAAAAATCTTTTTTACCTATATTTGTGTATATTGTATATTTACATAATTTTATAGACGAACATATTTTAGAAAATAGGCTTAGTATTATCTTGAGACAGAAAAATATATAATTTGACTTCTGCTATGCCTCAACTTTCCACAGGGTTAAAAATAGTCCTGGATCTAGTATCAGATTTAACCTCTTGGCTTGTTCATAATATCAAGGCATCTTGAATATTTTCTCCTATGCAAATGCAAATTCAAACTCTTTAAAGGGACTGAAAAGGAAAAATTAAAGGGGGTATAGGCTGAAAGCTAATCACTTTAGCTCTCGATCACGACCCATGAAAGTTATATCTGATGTTCCTATCTCTAGAAATTGATATACAACTTTGTCAAATTTATACGAAAATTAATATATATACAATTTTGTATAAATGTAGTGGGTTTAAATAGATCAAATTCAGCAAATATGCAACCAATCTGAAAACGATAATATCCCAGAGAAAGCTAATTGTAACGTAGGTGTTCGTATAATTTTAACACAGTTGTATATCAATTTCTCGAGAAAGGAACATCAGGTCAAACTTTCATGGGTCGCGATCAAGAGCTAAAGTGATAAGCTTTCAGCCTATACCCCCTTTCATTTTTCCTTTACAGTCCCTTTAAAGGGACTGTAAGTGTGATTTCGAGTGACTCTCTCCGTGCAACGAGGTCGATGGTCGATTCACAAGAAGACCCTTGAAACCTTTATCATGTCTTAGCTTGTCGTTTTTCTAGTTAAAAAGTGTCTAAATCTGATAAATTCATCTAGGATATCCTGCAGTAAAAATGCGCAAGTCACTTGGTAGAGAACAAAAAACAAAAATTGTCAGTTTTTAAAATTATAAATATTGATTTCTAATTCATAAGTGATCAGCACAAGCTTTTTAAGGGTACCGTTGTGAATCGGACATTAAGATCGGCTGTAGACTGACGCGGAAAATGACTGCACTTGTTCAGGAATAGTTATTTGGGAGCAATGACTTTTAAATCTAATTGTAAAGTTGTTAAGTGCTGCCTATTGGATGCATAAAGGCCTATGTTAGATTAGATAGTGTGTCCACTTTAATATTTCGACTTGAGTGCGTTACTATAGAAGTAGAAGCCCTAAAGAAAGTGCGTACATAGCCTGTTAAATTGTTCATAGTATGTTAAAGTATGTAAAGAAATAAGAGGCATGTAAAGAGTGGCTCCTACTGCTTATTTGTAGACCTACTGTTAAATATCTTATTTAAAGACTGCTAATGAATTCAGAGTTGAATTTTATAAAGGGTCTACATTTTTTTTAAAGTCCCTTTGATTTTTCGTTTATAACGGTTCCTTCCTGTACCTTTTTTAAATAAAAATTTCTTTTAGGTCAACCTTTTGTTTTTCTACATTTGTTTACCTACTTGTTACACCCCTGGAATGTACTGTTATGATAGGTATGCAAACTTTGTTAAGTGAGTTAGGCCTTGTTATCTGTGTTCCACTGCCTGGTTTATGCCTGATTCAATCTTCTAAACTCAGATTTGTATCTTACTCTCACTAACTAGCTGTATTTAAGATTGTTTTTAAGAAAATTTAGAAAAATACGAAACTACAGATGTGAATTGATTTAAATGGGGAAAAGTCTACAGCTGATAATTAGTTAAAAATAGAGGGAATATCAAAAGAGAAGAGGGAGGGTTTTCTCATAAACTTGTTATGAAGGATGAAGGGTTTTGAGAAGAAAACGGGGAATGGAGCTCATAAACTTGTTATAAAGGATGAAGGGGGGGGGTTGCTCATGATGTTTAAAGATAAGAAGATTAAAGTCTATTATTTACAATTTGCATGTTGCTCCGTGATGGGTGTTTCTATACAGAGCTCCTGATACGGATCTAACCCAACCCATGCATCCCTCATTTTAATCCTTGGCCCGGTACATTCTAATTAATCATATTAATAATAATAATAATGATGATAATGATAATAATAATAATAANATAATGATAATGATAATGATAATGATAATGATAATGATAATGATAATGATAATGATAATGATAATGATAATGATAATGATAATGATAATGATAATGATAATGATAATGATAATGATAATGATAATGATAATGATAATGATAATGATAATGATAATGATAATGATAATGATAATGATAATGATAATGATAATGATAATGATAATGATAATGATAATGATAATGATAATGATAATGATAATGATAATGATAATGATAATGATAATGATAATGATAATGATAATGATAATGATAATGATAATGATAATGATAATTTTTCAGGGCATCTTCAGTATTTTTTACCTTTTTTACATCACCATTTTTTTATACATATCCTACAATCTTACAAACATGCAATCTTTCCAATTATTTATCTTTTTCTATTTGTTTATTGATCCATTTACCACCCTCTCAATAGTTGTAAATAATTATAATTATTAATTTTAATACATCAGTTTATCTATTTATCCTTTCTATATTTCCATTTTCATCATCAACTCTAGAGTTCATCCATCCATTCTATCCATTCATTTTCATCATAAACTCTTGAGTTCATCCATCCATTCTATCCATTCATTTTCATCATCAACTCTTGAGTTCATCCATCCATTCTATCCATTCATTTTCATGATAAATACATGAGTTTTTCCTTCCTATCCATTCATTTTCATCATTAATTCATAAGTTTATCCATCTATCCATCCTATCCATCTTTTTCATCATTAATTCATGAGTTTATCCTTCCTATCCATTCATTTTCATCATTAATTCATAAGTTTATCCATCTATCCATGCCTGTGCATCCATTTACATTATTAATTTATTAATTTATTAGTTTATCCATCTATCCTTCCTTTCCTTCTATTTTCATCATTAATTCATGAGTTTATCCTTCTTATCCATTCATTTTCACCATTAATTCCTAAGTTTATCCATCTATCGCTCCTGTGCATCCATTTACATCATTAATTCATGAGTTTATCCATCTATCTTTCATTACCTTCTATTTTCATCATTAATTCATGAGTTTATCCATCTATCCTTCATTCCTATCCATCCATTTTCATCTTTAATTCATGAGTTAATCCATCTATCCTTCCTATCCATCCATTTTCATCATTAATTCAAGAGTTTATCCATCTATCCTTCCTATCCATCCATTTACATTATTAATTCATGAGTTTATCCAATTATCCTTCCTATCCATCTATTTTCATCATTAATTCATGAGTTCATCCTTCCTATCCATTCATTTTCACCATTAATTCCTAAGTTCATTCATCTATCCTTCCTGTGCATCCATTTACATCATTAATTCATAAGTTTATCCATCTATCCTTCCTATCTATCTATTTTCATCATTAATTCATAAGTTTATTCATCCATCCTTCCTATCCATCCATTTTCATCATTAATTCATGAGTTTATTCATCTATCCTTCATATCCTTCCATTTTCATCTTTAATTCATGAGTATATCCATCTATCCTTCCTATCCATCCATTTTCATCATTAGTTCATGAGTCAATCCTTCCTATAATAGCTCACGACTCCCCTCGTTAAATGGCAACAAGTAAAATGCATTGAAAGCACTACTACAGAGTGTCACAGTGTTCAAAATGACGTCTGAACAAAAAACTTGATTAATTAAAAAGCTAAATTTTTCAAAAAAAGGTTCATATGAAATATTAAAATTAATTTTTAAAATTAAAATTAATTTTTTTGGGACGACTGTTCAGTATGATTAAATCAAGGCACTGAAACGGAACAGTTGGTTTGAATGGATAGGTTTTAATAAACTTCTAATCAGGGGGGAGGTGGTATTTTTCAGAATTATTTGTAAGTGTCATTTATGCGGGGTTGAAATATTTGTATACGAAGTGTACTGGAGAGGGGGGCGCCAAAAAAAAAAAAAACATTAAAAGATGTTCAGTGTCCTGCCGCATTGCTCGGCCACCTAACCTGTCCCATTTGCGGCACTCGGCATAGTCATTGTCTTCAACCGAACCTAACTTTAGATACTATAGGTGTAAAATGTACATATTTTAATCGTGGGGGGATTTTATTGCTAGAATTGGGCCTTAAAATTCAGATGGATTAAAAAATAGGGTTTTGGATCGACGGTGGTTGTTTTCAACAAATTATAGAAGAATACAGACTGAGAAATATAAAAACTCTAAAGGTTTTGTAAAGATAAGTGTTTACTCGATAGTACTCGATAAAGTTTGAATAAGCTTAATAAATTGCTGACATTTCTGAGAAATAAATTCTATTTCTAAATTTTTCATCAAAATTTCAGTTTCAGAATTTAAAAAAAAATTACACTCTTAGAAAATAGCGCAAGTATATTATCCTTCTTCTAACAGTGTATTAAGATTTTTTTATATTGAAAGATAGATTTTGTGATAAAAGGGGACTAGGTGGTTTTATTACCCCCCCCCACGCTTTTAAAGTATTTTCTAGAGTGCTGTGTCTAGTGTTAAGTACGGAGAAGGATTGATCCTAAAGGAGGGAATGTTGAAATCTTTCATGCTTGTTACACGCTCCATTGGAACCAGAGTTACAGACCTTTAAACCGTTCAAACCATTTGTATTCTTGTAAACTAAACCACTGAGAACTTTCAGCACGCACCACAACTCTTTATATAGATATGCGGCAGGAGCGGTTGGTAGAAACTAGGACCATTTGAGAAAGCTTTAGTGTAGTTGGGAGTAGTTGATATTAGTAATTGGGAGCAGAGTTGAGTAAAATTTACAGCTTTTGGGCATTTGGGAGCTCATAATAGTATTTGTGAATCATTACCAATAAATGGAGGTATTTGGAGCAGTTGAGAGTTCATATAAGATCAATCTTTGTTACTAGTTGGAATTTATATAGAGCAGTTAGAAACTCAAAAGATCAATTGGGAATGATTTGTATTAGCTACTAGCTAGGTGTTCAATGATGGATTTATCAGCTATTCCATGCTATGGTAGTTATCAAACTATTAGACAAGTATAAAATGCATTTTAGAGAAGTTATGAGGAGTAGTTTGGGATTCGTCTCAAGGTTGTTCTCAACCTTATATAGAACAGATAAAATTATGCAGAGGCATGATTTGTTCAGAAATTTAATCCAGGATATAAAAAAGTGCATTTAACCCCCCTCGTGCTACACCAAGGGCTGGGCAACGTTATATTAACAAACGGAAGTTTTGCTAAAATTAACATCGGTGAGAACCTTTAATTATTTCAAACCGAAAGTTAATTTAACAAACCTTTCATAAACTAACGTGTCCATCCCTATCTAGACCCAGACACTTCATGCTAAGATGAAAAATATTAATTTTAATAACATTTTAATTTGTTTCTATCAATTTTATAACTTTGATTAATAGAAACATTAATTTTTATTTAGAAAAACATTTATCATTAATTTTAATAAATTCTATGGATAAAATTGTATTTATCTATATAATAAAGCTCTTCGCTTAAATATATATTTGTATATTTATATGTCAGCTATAGCTGGCCAAACGGCTGGACCGAATGGGCTAACATTTTTTGAGAGAACCCTTAAGTACCCCGGGGGGTAACAAAGGCTATAAAAAATTCGACATTTTTTTCAAAAATGAAAAATTTTTGTCAAGTGGATTTTTTTTTCAAAATTCGATTATTTAAAAATTCCAGGGGCAACGCCGGGAACTATAGCTAGTTTTCAATAAATTCAGTGTATGTAAAATTTTAAGAACTTTACAAGATAGAAAGAGACTGAATCCTGGTCACTGGATCTATATATATGGTCAATTCTTGAATCAGCATTTTCTGAACTTTTTAGATTAAACAAACCAAACTAATCTTAGATAGTGGGAGGTCACCCGTCCAGAAATGCGTACAATATGGAGGAACCTCTCAAGCATACCCCCCTCTTCCGCAGCTTGCGTACTGCGCAATGGTAGGTTGTAAAATGTAAATAGTTGGTTTCTGCGTCACAAATTAAGATTTGGATGTAACGGCTTGAATACCCTTACATAACATACTCAATATATAGCTAGGGTTACCCACAAAGTATGAGAATTTTAAGACGACCTGACACTATAGATATATAACAATTGCAAAGCGCAATTAAATGTTCTGTCTAAAATAGGTTCTTTTAATAGCTTTTTTATTATTTGGTAAAGAAAAGAATTAAGTTTACAATTGCATGGAATCTTAAATATATGGAAACTGTCTTTATGAATTCCGTACTGTCGTCTCATACTTTGTCATGAATACAGAGCCACACGAATAAACGAATAATGTTTAACCTTTACAAATGGACGAGTTCGAACTATCGAACACTAAGATCTGGTTTCACGGTTTCCCTATCAAGATGTGAGAATTAGCTAAGTGATAAGCCGAAATCAAATCAAATATGATCTTGCTCACTCTGTTTGAGCTAAAAGCATAATACAATAAATAGTTTATGGTCTAAACCACCGAAATCTGTATTTCCCTAATATGAAAATATATCATTTGTTTAGATTTTTATTCAACCATTATTATAAACAAAACAAATTATATTATTGTATATTAGGGACAAGCATATTTGGTTAGCTTTCATCTTATGCATTTACGCTGATTTAATAATTAAGCATTCCTTTCTAATTCACCCTTTTTCTTCATTTATTCATTTTCATTTTGTTAACAACAGTTTTAACACTTAATTGAACACCAACTGAACTAAAAGCTATAAAAAGGTTTTTATTTTATTTTATATATTTACAATTGTTTAAATTTAAAGTTTTTCATCCATGTAATTCAAATATACAATTTATTTATTCCACCATTTTGTTTTATAAAATTGTGTTGAAGGATTCCAACTTGATTCTAAACATATTTAAAAGTTTTCTCAACCGAAGATTTATAAACTCTTCTCTTGTCTAAACTTATCTTCTCAACTCTCCTTTTCTATTTCTATTCAATTGGTTTGGGGGAAGTGGAAATTTTGTTTGCTTTGTTTTATTTTAGAAAATTAACAGAAAATGATATATCCTTAAGATTTCGCATGATCACTATTTTAGCGAAAATTCAGAGTTAAAAAAAGTGTTTTTATAAAATGCAGTTGATAAAGAATGAACCATAATCATGCATGCCATTAAAGGGCTCAGCTGCCAGGGTGAAATATAAAATACTAGATGAAGGGCCCGCCGTTGCCCGTGGAATTTATTTTTTAAATAAAAAAAATTTGAAAAAAAATAGTTTCGAATGTTTTTAGCCTATAACACTTCCCGGCCACCCATGAGTGTCCACACAAAAAATGTCAGCCCATTCGGTCCAGCCGTTTAGCCAGCTATACGCAACATATTTATGAATATCTTATTTTATTTTATAGATAATTCCATGTTTTACTATTAACTTCTGGAACCCCTTGTGTTTTAAATTTTTCTGGATTTTGTATTTTCTTTTATCCTAATTACTAAATGTAAATATTCATATTGTATGATATCTGTCTAAATAAACAGTTTTCAGAAGACTTCTCTTCTCTTACTTCCAATTATATTCATCTAAATAAAAACTACGTAAATACTAATCCTTGTGTTAAGGGGGCGGGTGAGTATTACGTTTTAAAATTCATTTATTTAGAATTTGGATGAAATTTTAGCTTCAATTGGGACTAGTGCTTAGGATCCATTTAATTTTGATGCGGATCCGCACTGGGAAAAAATGCATCCGGATCCGGATCAATGTCATTTCTTTAAAGATAATTTTCGTTTATTCTTATCCCAACTTAATGAACCATTCAGAAATAAGAAATTTTATTGTCTCTTTTTTTCAAAAGTTCAGATTTGGGTTTTAGGAGTAAAAAAGTTTTTTTCAGTTTTTGGTTGATATTTTACCCAACACAACACAACGGTACCCTCTATCTGATCAATGTTCTTGAATATATTGTCATTTTTTAATGTGTTTAATTCTCACGATATCATTCATTGGTTGGGAAAAAAACCGCATTTCAATTTTATAGAGTAATAACAATTAAAATTTTTTTTAAAATCGTGCATATATCATTTTTATTTGATCAGACAATGTTTTTTAAAGGTACCCTTATGAATTGCACATGCAACTCTTTTAAATTTATGGAAAAAGTTGTTTAAGTTATAAAAGTTGGATGTTTTGTGTTCTGTGTGAAAGAATACATATTGTTAACAAGATTTGTGTCCAACTGTGCAATGCTAAATATATTTCCCTCAATCTCTTTTTTCCTTACATTTTTTCTTTTTTAGTTTTTTTGTATTCTATATTTCTCCTAAGGTTGTACCTTGAAAATTACATTTATTTTTGTCTGTAAGCTCAAATTACACATTTTGTACCATATTCCTTGATTATGATATCACTACAGAGCCCAAAACTTGAGACAGGGTATCGTTATGAAAAGCAATTTTAAAACCCGGGTTTCACGAATGGGGTTAGGCAGTTTTGTGGATATCAATATTTTTGATATATTATATTGAAATATTGAAATATTATTTATTTTAGTTTGTTTATATCCTCAAATTTTTTTAATCTCTTAAATCAAAATCTACACAAAAAGGAAACTCGGGAGTTTCGTTCAACGATACTCTTAAATTTCGGGCTCAGGTGATTAACCTCTTAAAATCTACCAAAAGTACGCACTTTTTCAACTCAATGACGCAATCCAGAACTGAGTCAGTTAAGCCCGTTCTGTTGTAAAGAAGATTTGTTTTCAATTGCTCCTGTACGCAATCACCACCTGTCAGGTTGGACATGACGCAATTGGCGCAAACGCAATGAAAACAGGAACAACTGGTTTATGATAAATAAGACCATATTTATTAAAGCTAACGACCTGGGGTTTTAATCCAAAACATATCAAAACTAGGATTTGATTTGATACAGGGTTACCCATAAAGGATGATACGGGAAAGACGACCTAAAACTCTTTAAATATACAATTTCAAGGTTAATCTAAGTCCTTAGCTTAAAATATAGTATTGCATGGCCTTTTAATGAATGAAACAAGTTTGCAGTCGTAAGAAATCGTAAATATGAGGAAACCAACCTGTATTCCGTACAGTCGTCTCTTCAGTCTCATCCGTTGTGGGTAACCCTGTATAACAATGAGGCTCATCTTGGATGAAGAAAAGGATGATAAATGTAATAATCATTCATTATCCCTGACTAATCAAGGACCATTAGAACTTGGTTTAGTTAAAGGGTGGGTTTAGACCTGCTAATCACCCCCCCCCCCCCCATCTTTAATACACCAATTGAGCAGGATTCAACTCTAACCCGCCCTACTCTCAAACCAAGGTCAGTTAATCCAGGGTTTATCTCAACCTTTGTCAAGGAATAATAGAAAGATGATGGACTAATGTTGATGGTTCATAAGATAGGATTACGCATTTTTTACTGATCTTGACGCATTGTGGTTCAGAAGTTTAGACCTAATATGGAGTTTCTCCGGGTAGGATAAACCATGGTTGGGTTCGGCGCGGTTCCACAGGTAGGAACCAGGTTTTCAGAGTGAGAGAGAGGGAAAGACAGAGAATGGAGGAGAGAGAGAGAGAAGGGAAGCTCCAAGAGCCAGTTTCACTGTAACTCCGGGTTGGGATGGATTGAGCAAGAGTAAACCTGTTGAATACAACCTCGGTGAATGAAAACTCGTTCTAGAATATATTAATTATCAGGTTCCGGTGATATTATTCGTAACTTGAATTAGAATCTGTGTGTACAGTTCTTTAACCCACCTTGAGAACAAATAAGAACCATCAGAAGGGAAAGTTTAACCGTTTAGATTTCAACGTAAACAAACTGTCAATTTTGACGGGATAGAACTTTTTTATATAAACCACTTCCGTGCAATACAATCCAACTGTTTTGGGTTAACAGCACAGTATTCACCTTTCAGATTCTTGTAATATAATGATAAAATATTTTGGGGTTCGGATATTTAAAATTAAATTCTTTCAATTGAATTATTCTAAACATTTGTTTGATTTAGTTTGTATTAAATTCAGATTAAATTCCTAGTACAAGACAAGAATTGTTGGTAAACTATCCTACTTTGTAAGAAGTACGAAAGAAGAATTTGCATTTTTGAATAATATTTAAACCATGGAATAGGCAGAGTATGGTTGGAAGCTGTCAACAGAAGATGGATTACTGAAGGATTGTTTAAAATGTGATAGTTTAAACCTCTCTCTCTCTTTCTCCGGGAATGTGCAAGTACTTGAAACCATGAAGAAATGGGATCAGGATTTCTAAAGTGAAGTAGATCTTGGTTTCGAATCTCCCTGTTATAAGGGAGACCTGGAGTTGAGTTACTAAAGTGCTCCTAGATCACCAAGATAGGAGTGACATCGTCAATTCAAACCACCATGGGACTCATAGGGGACAGGAAAAGTAAAAAACAGAAGGAGAAGGAAAAGGAGATTGAAAAGTTAAAAATTTCTCAAAATAAATCAAAATCGCCCCTAAAGAAAGGCCTTGTTGCCCCTGTGGGGGGTATGATGAGGTACCCTGCAGGGTACTACACCACCCCTGCCCCCCACTCCTCCTGGGCCCATCATGCCCACCCTGGTCAACCTAAACAACAGGCAAACCTTAACCCTAGATATCAAACATGGGTTGCCCCAAGAAAACAGCCTCATCTTAATCAACTGGTAAGTTTTATCCAATATATTCATTATTTCTTCTTTAAACCCTCCATCCATTCAAGATGTAAATCAAAGCTAGAAACCCTTAATTAAATATTAACATTTATCAACTAACAAACGATGTTTTTTCTTTATAACAGATTTTTTCTTTGCAAAGAGGTTTTAGCAATGTTTCTATTTTTTCCATAATTTTTCTCTCTATTAAAACAATTTTAAAACAAAAATAAACTAATAATTTGGTTTATTATGTATAGATAAGAACTATTTAATTTTCAAAATTATATTTAACTTCAAAAGGAAGCCACAAGCACTGATCTCATCCCTTTATTTTGCAACAATTTTTATACCATCAGGTTGCAAAAATATAGGGATTAGAAAATTTGAGTTTGTGTGTCTGTGTAAATTATTTTCATTATTATGTATGTATGCGTCTAACCGGTACATTCTTAATATTTTCTGAAAACTGAACTGTTCTCTTGTATCATTTCTTCATATATTCTTCGTAACAGATGCTGGATACATTTTCATAGAATCTTATTTTTACCCTTGCAATTCCTCCTTCTCTTTCCATATACAGGTTCTCCATGTTCTCCTGGAGTCTCCAAATATGGTCTGTATCCAAAATGTGTCCTTGTTTTTAGCCCCCGCTATTCAATAGTTTCATATTTTTGCAAACTGTCAAGTATTTAAATTTAAAAAATTAGGCTTTTTGTCACTCATTTTTTTTGCCAATCAAAAAATTCTCAGATCTCCCTCTTTTTATGGAAAATTTTCTTAAAGTGATACTTATGAATCCGAACCGGTCACAAACTTCACTGTAGGGTCATGTTAGATTCTTCAAAAATCGGGCGCGACCGTTTCAGCCGTTTTGATGTTTATTGGATACAACCCAACAAACGGACAAGTTAAATATATATAGATAAAACTACTTGACTCAGTAAACATGAACTCTAAAAATACATATTCTATCTATCCATTTTATGCATGCTGTCCCATACTAATAACTAAATATTTATAATAACAGTATGCTTTGAAAGTACTATTATGTGATAGTACTTATGTTCAGAATCAGGATGTACAATGGTATCGTTTAAAAGGTACCATTGGGAATCTAGCGTGCAATTACTATAAAAAGAGGACCATTAGAAATGATGTCGACTTTAAGATCGGGGNGGGATCTATTTTAGTAATTTTTAAAACTTTTTTCTATCACTTTTTAATAACACTAAAATAGCTAAATTTCAGTTTAAAACTATGATCTAAATATCTAGCTTTGATTAAAAAAGGGACGCATACGCGTGTACTTTTAACATGAATCATTTTCCCTATGGGCAAAAACCTTAATTGCATTGTAATAGTAGGTCATATAGGTATGTGGGCAATACATTATCCGGAGCAAAACTAAAAACTCTTTTTGTCAGATTTATCATCAGATCGATTTATGATTCATTCCCGTAACAATTTGAGAGATTGAAAATTTACAAAAAAAAAGTTTCATTTGACACACTTTTTAGATGCCCCGAACAAGAACTGTTTTTTATTATTTAATGTAAGAGTGATGATATGTTTTTCAGTTTTTTAAGAATGTAAAAAAAAATTTTAGTTAAAGACTTCTAATGTAATGACGGTTTTTTTGTTAATTTTTCAAAACTTATTTAAAATAGTTTATTTTTATATACATCGACTTTTATGGTAGCATGATTTCACAGTTTATTTGAGAAAAAAGGTAATGAAATTAGTTTGTAGGAAAATTTTAACAAAAATAGTAAAAAAAAGCATAAAAAGAGGGGGTCGTTTCTGAACCCCTATTTTACCACTGTAAAAAATGTCTATCTATGTGTATAATATATATACTTTTATTATGTAAACGAACTGCATGATGAATGGAGTACATTGATAAACATGATACATGATACTATTAGCTAGTGATTGCAATTTGTAGCCATGTTAAATTTATTTAATTCTATCCTTGTTCTGCAATGGGTCTTTTTATAATATTATTTCTATTTAAACTGACAATGCATTTCTGTCTATTTAGGATTTTACTTACGCCTACTTATGTTAATGAACTGCAATTGTAATTTGCCCACAGCTAATAGTGCAAAATTCCACAAGCGTTGCTAAGCGTTTACATATTAACCTGCAATTTTTTGTGCAAAATATTTTCAGAATAATAACATTAAATTGGAATTTGTTCTTCTTTTGTTTCTGTTTTTATATTTATAAACCATTCAAGTTCATTCCTCCCTTTATTAGAAACATTCTAAAATCTTTATTATTCTTTCATTGAATTTTTTCTTCTTTTTCTTTTTGGTTTTTAATTTATTTTTTATTTTTAGGTAAGTTTGTAACCAATCGAATATTTGGAATAATCTTTCCACCAAACCCTTCACAATTCTAAGAAGAAGCTGATCAAATTAGTTTATTTTATGACAAGAGAAAAGTTTCGGAGATTTTTTAATTTTCGGCTGGGACTTTTTAGTTTTCTGTCCGTCCGTACAAGGATATACTTTCATTTCAATGGATTAATAAGTTCCAAGTTGTTATGTTCAGAATAATAAATAAACAAACTCTTTGTTCTTTGTGAAAAAAATATTAAACCGAAGAATATTAAAGAACAAAAACATTTATATTGGAAACATATTAATTTCTATTAAAGGAATTGACCTCCATTTGTTTGATTCACAACTGTACGATACCTTTATCTGAGGAACAAATCAGAAATTATCCTAGTTTTTTGAGCAGGATAAGTGTTCAATTCTGGCAATTTCCTTTAATATTTATGACTGCTATAAATCCGAAATCATCCACTTTTACCAAGAAACCACAATTAGAATTTATCAGGTGTCACGGGATATCTCATTCATTCATCACACAAAGGTTTAAAGGATACCATTGTCAATCGAACATTCCACTCTAAAACTAAAGGGGGTACTTTAACTTATTGAGAGGGGTGATGGGGGGGAGGTCAGGTGTTTACATCCTAATATATATATGCATACACGGTTATGCATATTCTAGCGGTTTGGATAGATTTCAAGCATAAAGGCAGAGCTTGATTAAAGATAGTTTTTTTTATTTTTTTAAACTAATATGTCAATTTTAAAGATTTGTTTAGAGACAGTTAAACAAAGGAATTGATCATTCGCAACAAACTCTATTTTTTTAATTCCTATATTGTAAACCTTTGGCATTTGATTCAGTAGAAATCATAGTTTGAAATATCAAAGGTTTATATTAAATAGGTTGCAGAGATTTACGATTTTGAAAATTATAGTTTGAGGCGCGAAAAGTTTTAAGATTAAAAACAAAAAAGTATTGAATTTTAAACATACTAGAAATTCAAGGCGCTTCGCGCCCTTCTTTCTAGGCTTTTAGGGCGCTTCGCGCCCATCTTCTATTTAAATTGTGAGCATGTTCTTTTTGTTTACATTTCAAAACAAAGATGAAAAAAGTTTTGCGGATTTTTAAAAAAAAATTCGCGGATTTTCAAAAATTAAAATTTTTTTACAAAATTAAAAACCTCTTAAACACAAATTTTTAAAATTTCAATCATTCATAAACCTTCCCTGGGGTCCCTAGATGTCCCACAAAAAATTTGGGCCCGATCGGTTCAGCCGTTTTGACGTTTATTGGATACAAACAGACAGACAAACAGACAAACAGACAAGCCAAATTTATATATAGATTAATTTTAATTTGAAAGCTCATCTAACATTAGAGAATAAAATACTGAGATAATGTACTGATATAAAAAGCGTCTAGTTAAAATAGCTTGATAATTTACCCAGATAGCTTGCAGGAGTAAATAGTAGTGATGATCTTAACAAGATAGTAATGATCTTTCAAGACAGGGGTGTGGGCAAAATTGTTTTCTAGATAATATTTACCCCTGGAGACATATTTACTTGCAAACTGAAATAATATCTAGCCTAGCTATCTATACATGTATCTAGTGAAGTAGAAAGAGTGGGAAGATGGTTGATTTCGAACAATGGCACACTCAGACTAAACCCATCAAAACTTATTCGTTAAGCTTTGTAAGAATTATATTTATTTTGTTCCCTTGGCCTACATTATACTCTCTTCTCTACCCTCCCATTCTACTACAGAGTTTCAGGAAATGAAAATCTGTAAAAACACTTCAACATTTTATGTTTGTGTGTAGAAGGGGGTAACAAATACCGCAACTTTCATTTCCTAATTTCTCTGCAGAGCTGCGAATCAAGCCTGATTTTCAAGCCAAGTCTGATTAATGCAGATTTGCATGTCTACATGTCTGCTTGTCTGCTTTTCTACTTGTCTGTGTGTTTATTTATTTTCTTCTTTACTGTCTATGCTTCTGTATGGTTTGTCATCTTCTTTTGCTTTCTTTATTGTCCCGCTTATCTGCTTATTTTTTTCGTCGTCTATTTATCTATTTGTCGCAGGTCTGCTTGTCTATTTTTGTGTTATCTAAATGTCGCATGTCTGCTTGTCTAATTTTGTGTTATCTAAATGTCGCATGTCTGCTTGTCTATATATGTGGTTGTTTATGTTCATTTGACCATTGTTGATATCTGTCCTTGGTTGAGTTGATTGAATGGCCCAAAAATCCTTCTCATGATCTTATTCTAAACATATTTCAGTGTATGTAAATATCCTGTAGTTTCTCCATTCTAACTCCAGTCTGGAGATGTATAGGCGTGAGAGAATGGTTTGAGTCTAGCTCAGGGTCCCGGCTTGAATAGGGACGGATGGAAGGACAAGAGGTCCTGATGTCATGATCTCCTGAGACCAGGTTTCATGATAATCTCATAAACATTGAGATAGACGAACCTATACTCTGGGTTCGTGAAGACAATATCTTACAAGATAATATTATTCAACAATGTTAAACATACCCATCCTTGGACCAGGAACGGATGAGAAAGAAATTTCCATAAAATTCGCCAGAAGCGGAATAGATGAGGAAGGGGGGGGGGCATTAAGAATAGGTTTTGAATTATGAATGTATTATGATAATC